ATAGGTTGGTGGAGCATGCTGGTGTTACCCTGCGCTTGAAAATGGATGCTATTTCAATTGTGGTGAAGAGGGCGAAGCCACTAGGGACACACCGTGTGTGGTGGCCATGCATCACGATGCAGGAATGGACTTCCTACCTGCTATGCAATCATGCCCAAGTCCTTTTGGCTGGCCACAGACTAGATGAGACAACCTCTTGGAAAGCTGTATTTCTTCGTTTTTGGTCTTCCTACAAGCGGGTCGATCCAGGCCACCCAGTGTTCAGTTCCAACCTCCCTTTGGACCAGTCCATTCCTTATGCCTATCATGGCGATGAGGGCCGTGGCAAAGGTCGTGACCCGTTCATGGTCATATCATTCCAACCAATTGTAAGTCACCTGGGTTTGGATTCCTGCAACGACAGCACGTAGCTTGGGTGCAATGATGTATCATTTCGAAGGGGGGTCTTTGTTGTTGCTACTAGGTACTAGTGTTTGGAGCAAATGTCAAAGCCAGCCTTTTTCAGGCATAGCTTCACAACACGCCTTCTCCTGACTTGCATCTCTGCCAAACTCTACCACGGAGACGAGACGTTGGATGATTTGTTTGCTGAGATTGCAAGACAAGCGTGTGAACTATCCACAGAGGGGATTGAGGAATCTCGCACTTGTCAAAAAAGCAGTTTTTTGCTCATCTTTCCCATGTGGGCATTGAAAAACCGAAGAAGAAGTGTCTCTCAAAGATGATCTCTATCCCAGGAAGTGCACTCATCCCATGTGCCCCGCGAGCCTGCTGCAAGGTCAATGGAACAAGGTTCCACATGATTTGCGTTGGCCTGAAGGGCGATTGGGCGTTTGCACGGAAGGCACCTGATCTGTGAAAAGAGTCCCAAGTTTTTTGACAGCCCACGGGGTGTGTAGTGAATGCTATCATGTGAAGACGCGGGCAAAGGTGGGGTAGTGCCTGATCACCACCATTCCCTCTGAGCATGTTTGTTCACACCCTAGTGTTTTAAACTTGCAACCCTAGGCATATCACTTGTCCACGGGGTGGCAATGCAGCCGGATATGTCACCTCTGCACAGGGGTTGGATGGCATGATCCTACGGATTCAGCGTCATGGGTTCGTGATGGACCAGGGGAATCGCCCATAAAGCCTGGCCCACTCCCACCTTTGATGGACATACCTGGCTGTCATCACCAACGGTATGTGCAATTGGACTTTTGCCATGCATTCCATTTGGGGTACGGATTAGACATGGCATCAGGTGCCATAGTCTTACTGTGGCGACTTGGTCATTGGGGAGGCGGCGCTATGAATGCATGTTTGAGCAGGGCGTACACACGGTTCAGCCAGTGGTGCTATGACAATAGGAGGGCTACCACCATCAGGATGTTCTCCAAACTTGACTTCGATATGACAACGAATCTTGATTGAAGAGTAAATTGTTGTTAGTTTGCTGTTGGTAGTAACAATTGCCATTCCCATTCCACCTTGTGGTATTGTTGGTTTTCCCCAGGAACAACGACTGGCCAAAAAGCCTGAACGGCAAAGCCATTGACACGGCTATTGTCCTAGCCTGGCTGGAAGATGAGATGACCGCTCCATCGGCCAATGCTGCTTCGCTGGCGCTGGCACAACATTTTCTTGGGACCGCCAAGTGGGAATGGTCTTGTTTGGTACGGTAGGTTGGATATAGTATGTGTTTGGTTCAGTTGGCCATTGAGGCTGATCCTTTCTATACCATGGCTCGCTACATGGTTCAATGCTCCAACCTCTTTTTCAGAATTTGTCGAGGGAATGGCGTGTTTCTGTCGGGTGATGCCCGGCGTCATGCAGTGGTTGCCGGTATGGATATGAATGATGCATGCATGCATGAAAAGAAGTATTTTTCTTTGCCAAACTAGGACTACAGCTTAAGCTTTTGAGAATCCCACGCATGAGCGTCCCAGGAAAGTTATGCCCGCTTGGTGGCCCTTTGCCATGGAAAGGGCTGGCGACTTTTCAAGTATAGACCCAAATATCATTTGGGGTGCCATATTGTTCGCAGCCTCCAATCAGCTGAAGAAGCTATCAACCCGTGTTGATACTTGGATTTGCTTGATGCATTTGAAACCGTGTTTGCTTTCTATTTACTGTACATGCAACGTTGTATAGTGGGAAGCACAAAGCTTGAAACCACCAAATTGGTAGTCAACTGAGGCTGGGGGTGCTGGCAAGATGAGGACTTCATTGGAGTTTGCTCCCGCCTTTCAAGACGTTGCCATCCCCTCTTGACTACAACTCGTACATTGCAGAAAGTCATGGGCCTATACTTCAAGCAGATGTCGAAGTTCAAATAGACTCATCAGACGGTGCTGTCTGAAAAGGGGCGAGCGGAAAATGTCCAAAGCGAGCAGAATTCGATCAAAACGACCCAAACGACCCAAAAACAATCAAACGAGCAAGAAACCCAAACGAGCAGAATTTAGTGGTTGTTTGAAGATGTTGGTAATTGAAATTACACGGTTTTGGTCATTGCCCAATTGGAAGCAGCTCCACGTGTGACTTGGCTTGCTAGACTTCGAAGACAAAAGAATATATGTGGAAATGGATGTTCTTATTGCTAATTGCTGGGCCCTTTTTCAACCTTCAATGCTGAGGTATCCAGTGTCCACCAGCTTCAGTTTCATTCTTGACCTCTAGTTCCAGTGATGTGGGGAAGGAAACACTGAGACCTCGGGGGGAGGTTTCAAGAAGGACGAAGGAGGTACATGCATTTCTTAACTTATCATTTCTTGACTGCTTCAGGCCTGCTCAATCAGACCCTTAGTACTTTGGGTTTCGAAGGGATTTCTCACTAAACTACTTTGGTTAAACCCGACAAAAAGGACCAGGCTGGACAGCCCCAAGGCTTTAGGTGGAACATGTTTGTTTTTTCACAGAGATCGCTACAAGCCAATGGGTTCGGGAAGGATCGCCTGAGCGTTTTGTAACAAAGCCAGCTCCGGGATCATTTTCACCCTAGCAATTCAGGGGCGGGAGTTTATCTGCCTAGGCTGGTTTGTTCAGACGTTTGAAGGGTCATATAGGTTAAATATGGTTAAATCTTCCAGTCCCATGGATGGTTTGGGTATGTTGGGGTCGGTGTTATAGCTAGAAGGGATGGTCAGCCTGCGTCTTTGGAAGAGAGTGGGCCCTTCCATTAGACAAGAGCTGGATTGAAAGAGTGCCGCTCCATGGCACCTACTAGCGATGGCCTCCACCCTATATTCTAGCGATGGCCTCCACAAGATTTCGGGAATGGATGCAACTCAGTGCAACTCATTCGATCGGACATCAACATACACCTATACGCTGCAACATACACCTACGCCAGTGTCCGGAGGAACTGTGAGGGAACAACCTCTCACAGTTCGACGTGTTTCATTGGGTGTGTCCGATGACCTGTAACAGTGATGACGGCCTGCAACCAGGCCCCATCATGTTGTGCTTCCGAAGGGATGGCACAAAGATGCCGTGTCCCCTACAGCTCAGTTTGACGCTCATTGGCTCAAAAACCCAGTCGTAGCTCCTCAAACCCCCTCACTTCGCCTATTGGACCCTCACTTCACCCTACACACAGAAGTCTCTCCAGGTGTCTCCAAGCACCTAAAACGGTGGAGATGTGGATCCACAGGCCAGCTCGGGCTCTTTCGCTGACCATGCCCCACCAAACAAAAACAAGAACTGCTCAATTTTCGGTGTTTTGGACCCGGAGACTGGACCTGGGTCAGGCTGGGCCTGTAGGGTGTCCTCGGTACACATTCCCATTCCAGCCATCCTCGTGAAGACGTGGGCGGCTTTCTTGGCGAGGGCCCGGCGTGATGCTCGTTGCTTGTTCCACTCGCCACGCAGAGTCTGAAGGCTTCCCAAGACTCAATTCAAATGTGAACACTTCTGTTTCTAGCTCTCAGATTTGTTTGATCGCCCAATTGGGTGCCCAAATGGGCGAGCAAGCTGCGCTCCCGACTGGTTGTCGGGGCGAGAAAAAACGCTGGGAACCTTCCGGGGCGATCTGCAAACCTGCAAGCTGAAACCCGCTGGACAGCGCAGCGAAAAGAAAGGCTGTTGGACGGGGCCGCAAAGTGAAGATAGTGAAGGGTGGAAGCGGGCCGCTAGCAAAGCTTGGATTGTTTGGTGGTTGACATATGGAAGGGTTGGATTGTTTGATTGATTTTTTTGGTTTGTGTATGTTTTTGTTTTTGTTTGTTGGGTTTTGGAGTTTGGTACGGAAATGACGTGCTAATGCTTGCAAAGTCCGTCCTGAACAGGTTTGTGAGCCTTGTGAACAATGACAATGGTGGCTAGCAGCTGTATCACCCAGGTCACCAGCCCCAAAAGTCCACATACCATAGCTGGACACCTGAAACATAGCTGGACACTACACTCTTGTTTTTGAACATGTGGACACTCTTTAACATAAGATTTGGAGGGTGTATAGTCGTACCTTGAACACGAAGGTTTGCGGACCCGTGAGTTTCGGGCAGTACTTGTGTATTTGTAGATTGCCCTTTGCAGGCAGTCAATCCCAGACCATTATCGGTTCATTGGACATAACATTTAACCTGCAACCTTAGGACATTATTCCAAGGCCGGGGTAGATCGCCTCCCTAAAGTCCTCCCTCATGATTGCAGCAGGTATGCATTTAGCCTATAAATTAATATAATTATGATCCTAATGATTTGTAACATGTTGTAACTCTTCCAGGTCCCATGGATGACCTGTTTCTTTTTCACAGACGACCTGAAGGGATCGGAAGAGGCTCATCAGGGAGTCTGGGTGGTTGAGATGAGTTCTCAACAACGGCGAGTTGAAGCAGACCATGTAACGACGAGTGGTTTTTCGTGAACATGTAAACTCTTGTAAACTCACGTAAACTCTTCGAGTCTAGTGAGTCATTTGAGGTCATTTGAGGTAGTCATGTCAATGTCTACCTCTTCCAAGTTCGGACTCTCATGCTTTCAGATGCCGGTCTACCGGAGTGACCTCAGTGACCGAGGTCCTTGATGGTGGTCGAGTGGCTGGCGGCCAAAGGCCGGGCGGCTCCGCGCCGCGGTCGGGTCCGCGCTGGTTCGAAGGACCCGGACCGTTTGGCTGACTGGTGCTTCGTGAAGGTGGGAGTGTATCTACCCTACGCGACAAAACCCCTTAAAAATGTCGGGTCTGAGGACAAACCCCGGGTGTTGAAGGTATCAGACCAAAAACCTCGGGTTCTTGAACAAAACCTCGGGTTTTCTGGTGAGATCCCTACTTCAAGGTTTTTCAGCGTTCCATCCGCTTCCGCCACGCCACAGGTGACTAAATGTTGGACAAATTAAAGGGTTAGTGGTGAAACCCGTGCCCACCCCGTGATTTACCCGTGCCAACCCGTGTTTTTGGAATGAAAACCTCGTGTTTATGGGAGAACCTCGGGTTTTCGCAACCCGTGCCAAACCCGTGTCCAACCCGTGATTTACCCATGCCAACCCGTGTTTTTTTAAATGGGTTTTCTGCCACAGGTGACTAAATGGCACCGGAAGAAATCAGCCAGAGTCTGCAATCACACTCCGGAATCCTGCCCGGAGCAGATTTTTGAAACCTCGGGCTTTGATTGAAAACCGTGTGTTTTGAGGTGAACCCTACTTTTTTAAAGGTTTCTGTAGTACAGGGTATGTATAGTGAGCCTGAGGTGTCATTCTGTTTCTTCTCTTTAGAAGCACCGGTGGCCATGGGAGATCCGATCCGAGTCGAGAAAGACTTTCCGGGTGCTTCGGGATGAGTCAGGCTCTTCAATCGGTCGCATACAGCCGACCTGTCGGCCTGTCGTCGATCTGGGCTGGAAGAGTGGCAGTGTTCGGCCATGGACATGCCCAAACGATCCATGGCCCAGACATGACCTGTCTGGGACTGCCATAGGACTGCCGCCCCATGGACCCCCAGTCAACCACCCCAATGTAGGCATATACGGCAGTCCCATGGAGTGTTTGGGTGGTGGCGTAATGTATGACCTATTGTACATGAAAACCACTAGTCACCAGTCATGGTATACCATAGGACTGCTGTCCTATGGATCGTTTTTGGGATGCGGGTAGATGATGCCTCTAACCTGGGCAATCCTGGGTATCCTGCTTGGAGATCCCTAAGTAGTGTTATTAGGTCCAGCCAGCACACCCAGCATGATGCTGGAGCTATTCCATATACCATATACCAGCATCCTGACTGCCAGGTCTCATTCATTTAGAGGGTTGGGAAGGGCCCTAACTAGGTCTCAACTACCTGGCAGTGAGGATGCTGGTACATTGATGTTTTGGGGGATCAAGGTTCCCAAAATTCGATTGGCATTCTCTCCCAGCTACTAACCTCAATTGACTGTTGATGAATTAATCTTTCCAAACCACCAGCCCCCCAAAAAGCCTAAGATGCCCCACGGTTTGCAAAAAAAAAAAAGCTGCCGGAGGTCCAGGTCTTTTGGACGACGTTGGATCTCCCGTTGGCTGCGCCGACGGCGAGGCTTGGTGGCGTCTCAGGCTGCTGCGCCGGAGGTGTTGCAGTTGCTGCCAGATTTGGCCTGGCAACAGGAGCCGCTCGGCGAGCAGAAACGAACCACAGACGCCACCCGTTGTGGCGTAATAGAGTCATGCAGAGATGATGCAGTTGTAGGGAACCATGGTGCTTCCAGGTTTAGAGGGTTCAGTTGCTTGAGCCACTCAAGAGGAAGAGGGAGATCATAAACTGAGCCATTAAGAAGAACCACGAGCGCTCAAAGAAAGCGCTCAAAGAAAGCCAAACGGCTCGATTTCTGACTTCAGGGAGTGGCTTGGCTTTCTCCATCCACCAAGGAAGGGAGTGAAGGAAGCATTCACAGACACTGACACGCCAGGTCCAAAAGAATAGTAGGTGTTTAAGCTTGTTTGGACCAGTCCAGTGACCAGTGATTGGAGAATGAACCAGAAATTCGTCCAAGAGGCACCCCCCGTATAAAGCTCTATTGCCTACTGTAAATACATTGACCACTGACACCACCCCGAATGTAGGTCAATTTGCAACTTCCATGGTTCGCGCTTGGGATTGAACACTGCAAGGCCCTGAAAACATCCTAAGAGATGGTGCAGGTTTGGTGGCAGCCCATGTCAACCCTGTGCCGACCTAGCCATGTCCCAGGGCCGATTCCACAAGCTTTCGCTGCAAAAAAAACAGGGTGGGTCGAAGATGGGTCGAACAGTGGGGTGAATTTGGAGGATCAAACCAAGCACTTACTGTTGACCCACTGACGACCCATCCATAAGCAACTGTCGTCCGATATAGTGCAGTGTTCGACATGTGAGGAACATGTCAGGATACCTGATTTGTACCAGGACCCTCTTTTTGGGGTGCCCTGTTTGGAAGCCGAACGGCCGGTAGTGTGGGGTAGTCCAGCCAGGACACCCCGAAGGTCGGAGGGTCCTGGTATCTTCCCTGTTGCGTGGATCATGGGGGTTTTCTTTTGATGTTTTCTTATATTCTGGCCTCAATCTCCCAGGGGTATTCTTTCCCAGACTCCCCACCTTACTTGCGAGCCAAGAGAGGTTCAACAGCCCTATATATACCCCTCCCACACCCAGACACTCCATGGGACTGTTATATTAATAATTTACATACCAGCACCTTCCAATATAGGTCTCCGAAAATGGAGGGTTGGTTGGGTGTTAGGCCCTAGCCTAACAGGTTTCAATGCTGGTACTTATCATACACCAAAGGGGCGGGCATGGGAGGTGCTTTTTTCACCCAATGGGCGTCGGGGTTCGGGGCTCGTCCTGAACATCCCAGGCACGGCCTCTTTGCCTTGGACCCCGAAGAGCTACGCGTGTGGCCACCGGGGGCGAGCCGAGCAGAGACGAGGGCCTTGGGAATCCCAGAGAGAGAGAGAGAGAGAGAGAGCCTCAGAGGCTGCAGAACTTGGATTGGCGATGGTGGCGCCATGAAATCCTTGACAGGTATACGGATGAGGTATGTTTGCAAGATGATGCAAGCATTCCATACATGGATGCGTGTGACGGAGAGTTTCATCTGAAACAGACATGTTGGACCAGGAATTCACGAAGCTGGGAATCGCCCAATGGTCCAATGGCAGGTTGGGAGTTTCCCCACGTGGGCACTCTGTCCGTGATCACGCATCAAATGCACAAATGGCCAATCACCAACAATCCATGTATGGTTTGTGTTTCCGACATTGACCCTCAAAACATCTTTAAACCACCCTTATTACAAGATATGACAATTATTCCATACATGGCTTGGTTGTAGGCAAATATGACAGTCCCATGGACGGTCTCGGCGCCAGGACAACCGGAGGTTTCCCAGGTCAACCACCGCCAATTCTCGTTGGAGGATCGGGGCTCCTGGATGGGACTTTCAGATACTTTAAGAAGAAACCACCCCAAGAAGGGAACTCCTGGTGCCTGATGGAACTCCTGATGCCTGTTTCATGTTTGATTGTTGCAGGGTGCCAAGGATGTGCCACGAGAGGTTGAAGAACCCTTATACTTCGGCTATCTTAGTTGGGTACCCCAGGTTTTCCGGGGCCTATTTGACGGTCACCAAACCCCGCTCTGGGTGTTCCAACCGCTTCCAACGCAACGGGCCTACCCGGCCAGGCTCGGCGCGGGCACCTCCATGCACCACTGGCGCGACGTGGCGCTGAACGAGACCCACACCGCCCTGGAGCCGCCCCGGCGGCAACGACCGGCGTTCGAACGAACGAACGTGGAGCGCGGAGAGAGGGCAGGGGTACCACGGGCGAGGCATCGGGGATCTCGAGGCACCGGGGTCGGAACGGTAGTTCAGCGGACATCTCTTCGGCGGGAAGACCAGGCGGATCTTAAAGAAGGTGGTTCCAGTGAGAAGAAACATCTCGATGAAGAAACAAAGTACTTTGCTTCAGTGATCCCCTCCCTGAGAGGCGATTTGGAAGAAGGCAGATGTATTGACAGGGGGGGAAACAATGGTTTGAGGCAGAGAGGAACTTGCAAGGCTTCCCCACTTCAAACACGCGGACACACATGGAACGGGACCTATAGTCTTCAGGTTTGCGCCAGCATGCGCCAGCTATGTTTTCTGATTGGAGCCATCAATGGTAAAAGTTGTTGTCTCTCGCAGCGGGGATCCCGCACCATCTTCGCAGAATTTGACAAGGAAGCTGAGTTTGTATACTCTGTGGCTGCAGAATTGGTAACGCAGACAAATAGCCGAGGGAGACTGCGTAGAGTCAAGCCCGCCAAAAGTCTTTGGGACTGAGGAGCAGTGAGAAGTGTGGTAGTCGTCGTGGTCATGGTCGTGGTGGTGGTAGTGGTATAGGTATTCGTAGTGGTCGTGGTCGTGGTCGTAGTGGTGGTGGCGGCGGTGGTGGTGGTGGTTGTTGGTCATCGTCGTCGTCGTAATCGTAGTCAGTCGTAGTTAGTAGTAGTCGTCGTCGTCGTCGTCGTAGAATAGGTAGAATATAGGTATAATTTTGAGAAGGGTGTTTGAAAAAAGGTTTTCGGGTCAGAGTTCCATGAATCAAGCAAACCTCAGAAGAGTTGAGGGCAGCAATGCAAACACACTGGGCAAAAGAAGAACCTCTTACAGTATTTATATATAATATATATATATATATATCACCTAAACTATTCAGGGAGTGGGACGATGATCAGGTAGCTATTCTTTGGGTCTGTCCTAGTACCTGTAACAGTCAGTAAACAAGAACATCACCATTTTTGCACAAGACCTGCAACCAAACCATCACCATCAACTGTTACAGGTCTTAGTATCATTGTGACAGATCCGGGGTATCAGTATACAGTATTAGTATATATCCATCATGAAGACCGCTTGGCCCAGGTCATAATGTCGATGTAGGTAACTATTTTATACCCAGACACTCCATGGGAGTGGTATATATACCGATCAGGCCAGGGGTGGCGCCAGGGGGGTCAATTGATCGGCAGCCCTATGGCACACATGCCCTATGGATCCACATACCTTCTCAGGTACGGTGATTGGAGACTATTTATGTAGGCTTGGGGAACCCAAGTACCTTCTGAGAAGGTAGGTATCCATGGGGATGGAGTGTTTGGGGTACATGGGATGGCTTGTAGATGTTGCCAACGATCAACGGGCTCGGGAATCGATGACTTGGTGGCTCAAAGGTTGTGACTGAGAGGCTGGTGACTGGCCGGCCCCACAAAGGGTCTTTGGTTTCGGGGGGGATCTAGTAGTCGCTGGAAGAGTGATGATTTGCATCATTGAATGCGTTTGACAAATACTTTCCAAATGACCCATCCATGCTGCTCTTTCTGTCCCATGGATGATTTTTGATATGGTTTGGGTTTCTTCAGCTGTGAGATGCAAAACAAATCGATATCAACTCAGGTACATCACCTCGGAGCTGAAAACATTGCTTGGTGCCTCGCCAGTCACGCTGGAGCATGTCCGTTGGGCCTACCTAGTGCCTTGGAAAACCGCCGAACAGCGTGACGAGGGGTTCGCAACCCAGAAAAGGCTCCAAACGCAGCATCCAGACTCTCTATGTATACAGCATATGCATATATAATATATATTACATACATTACATATCACATGTGACCTAAATACATTCACTGGAGTGGTTTCGAGGTCAGAGTAGGTAATGGCATGCCATATATTGGGGGTCGAGTGTCGGGGGGCCCCGTATGCCAGGGTCATCCAAGGCTCCAGGGTGCCCCAGCAGAAAATTACAAATCATCAGGCTGAAACATTTGTTAGTGTCATTTTGCACGGGCTCCAGTGGCTCCAATACCCCAAAGGCTCCATGTAAGCAAGGATGGCCTACATTCACCGCCCAAAACCACCAACTGTAGACCATACGCATGTTTGGCATATGTTTGGCATATGTGTGGCAGATCCACGACAAAAACTCAGTGATTCTTGGTATCCCTTTTACTTTGGCTCAAGTGAGTTGAAATATCCCTCATCGGCTCAAGTGAGTTGAAATCCGTGGCTCAAGTGAGTTGAAATAAAGCAGGAGAGCAGTGGGTGGTACAGAGTTCCTATGAGTTCCTCCAGCTCCGAGGGTTAACACGAGTCAGTCAGATTCTGAGTTTTGTGGAAGGGCCCTCCTGGCACTTAGCAGTACACCCGGGATGCTTTGCCTTTTATGGCTGCCTGCTTTGGCGGAAGCGATTGCTTCGGTGCCCTTTGCCACTGAGAGCTATAGTCAGCACGTGGAAGCCTTGCAAGGCCAGCGCAGTGAAAACACAGACGAGAGATGTGCAAATACATGATAGAGAGGGAGAGAGATGGGAAGACGATCGGATTGGGAGAAAAATACGTCACATGACTAGAATCTTGGACTCGGCCCGGCTGGAACAAGAAATGAGTATGTTTTGGCCGTCATGGGTGGCAGCTACTCTGCCACTTCAGAAGCCTGCCATGTGTTTGTTTCATTGATCATCACAGACCCGCCAACTGGGGTTCTTTGTGTTTCCTTTCCAGGACGTGTCACTTTCTATTGGGCAGTCGATGAGAGCAAGCAGATCTTGCGTGCTGGCGTGGCGGCGCAGACTGCTGGCTGGTTGGGTGTTGGTTTCAATGCCTTTCCGGAAATGACTGGGGCGGATATCGTCACATATCTGAGAACGTGCTGGGAGGATGGGGAGGATGGATGAGGATGGGATGTGGAGAACGGGGATGAAAAGCCTTGGACCCAGTTGGCCCCAGTATTCATCACGCATCATGAAAACACCATCAAGCACACTTGAGAATCGTGCGACAGACTTCGTGCGATCATGATTGCAAATTGATTGGCCGGGGCATCATTTACATCGAAGTCATGGGCTCGACAACATGTCCTTGCTGTTTCTTGGTGCCTCAGAAATGTTGTAATGCTAGTGCCAGTGTGTGTGTGTGTTGCTTTGTCTTGCTAAAACATCAATGTTGTTCAATGCTTTGGCAACTTGACTGTCCTTTTGTACCGGAAAAGCACTTTTTGCTTAGAAGGGGCTTCTTTCTATACTAAACCACTCAAGATTAAACCGTTAGGAAAGGACCTATGGACAGCCCAGGCATTGGGATAGCACAGTGCTGGAAAACCTAACCACCCGAGGAAACCCGTTTCTGCGCTTGGAAAGCCTTTTTCCCATACACATCAGTCTTTCATTGGATGCCGTTCCGGTAACAGGTGGCCCAAGTAACGAGTTTTGGGGGACCAACGATCTTGAAATCCCACTTGGAGGTTGTTCATAGAGCACCTTCTTCACTGTGCGATACCCTATGAACAACATATGGCAGTGGCCCTTTGAAACGAGTTTCTGCCCAAACCGGCGCACTTCGGGTCGACAGGGTTGATGAGTATTGACAACATGTCGTCTGGTGGACGTGGAGCATCCGTCGGAAAACAGAGCGGGAGGACCGTGGAACCCGAGTTGGACCGAGGGAATCTATGGCATATCCATCATGATTTAGCGTATGATATGCAAGTATATACCTAGTACTTAGGGTATGATAGGGCATATCATATAGATGAAACTATGGCCTTTGACTCCGCTACACTGGAACGCAATGTAAAACCACTCAAGACTCAGGACCACTGCTTGTGGCACGGGCCTTCAGTGGCCTCAACCATCCCTAGGATGCGCTCTATTGGTTTCAGTTACTGGAAGATCAGAATCTGTGAACCAGGTCATCGTTCATGCAGCCCTATTATGTGGCACCCACTGCTCAACCAGCCTCATATGGGGGGCGAGGCGCTCATCCCACGCGCAAAAAGGTGATGATGAGCGTGGATGCTGATGGGAACCCCTTGGCGGTGCAAGACCTGCACGCGACGGGCTTCAGCACTCCAGTGGCAGATGTCACTCAAGACGTTGTGGTGAACAGCCAGGGCCGCAGCAATGGCATTTCCTGGTTCACCTTTGAACGGAATCTCACCAACTGCCACTGGGAAAGGTTAGCCGATTCTAGCCGTATTTTGTTTTTTTGATGAATTTACGAAAGCCGGCCGATGTGCTAGGCTGAAGTTAGTGCTGCGAACGGTGTTGTTTGGTGGCTTCGTGATGCAAAATATGCGATAGCCTCATCGCTACCCGAGAGTGGTACACATGGCTGGTTGAAAGGCAGCCAAGTTGACATGTGAACATGGCTGAAAGAGTTATATATATATATATCCATTTATAGAACATGCCTCGTATTGTCGGATATTGATTAGTACAAGGGATCCCCCCCTCCCCCTAAACAAATGGGAGGCCCTCTACAATGAACGACCGCCAAAACAAATCTGGGTTTGTGGGAGGATTCCTTTTGTTACTCAATGTGTTCATTTTCCTTTCTCAGGTTAGTTGTGATTAGATATTATCATCAACCCTTTTCCTTTGCAGCCTCAGATCTTCAGGTCTACTACCTTCAACATTTGTTTAGGAGCAATCTTTACATAAAGGATTGATTAAGGATTTGGTGGCTTTGGGAAGCTGTGAGTTTTTAAGAGCAGCTAAAGAAGCTTATGATTACCAGCAATAGTCTCAGCAGTAGTATTGAGAGCTATTTGTATATATTTGTTGATTTAAAACACCTTTGCACAATGGAGAGCCCTTAAACAAAAATATTATTAAGGATCAGGGGCCTTACTGGTACTACCTTGAAACTTTGTTTAGGATTTGATTAAGGAATTGAAGGCTTTGGAAAGCTGTCAGTTTTCAAGAAGCACTAGAGAAACCTATACTGATCAATAATCTCAGCAAGCCAGCCATTAGCTGAGTAGTATTCACAGATCTCCGAAGGATTTAAAGCACTAATGATTCTTCAGACAATAAAAAGTAACATATCAACAAATAGCATAATAGAGTAATAGAGAACCCTCAAAACATATATATATATGTAAGTATGCATAACATTGATATACAACAACATACATGGGGTTGTGACATCGATGACAATGTTGTGACGTTGACTTACCCCCACCCCACCCACCCACCCACCCACCCCGGCAGTACAGTAGTGGGGACAGCAGTCCAAGTCGAAAAACCAAACGGAAGACCATATCCACCACAAAAGTGAGGGTTGTCCCACCAGGAAGAGTTGCAGCAGCTTTCTGAGCATGGCTGAACTATTATATATAGAACATGCCTCGTACCAGGGACTTGCGGTGACTAGTCCTATATTCCCCAGGACCACTGCTTTCAACTGCTGCAACTCTTCCCGGTAAACAGTGAGTAAGACCCCAACTGATCGGTAAAGATGCCAGTCCCGTGGAGTATCCTTATGGAAATAATCTTGCACTGTTGGAATGCCTTTCATGTCAGCAACGAGATGCTGTAAGTAACCCCCACTATCCCAAACACTCCATGGTACTGGGACCTATGCACACATCGAAACTGCACAAATGTAGGCAAATAGGTCAGCCCCCCCGTGAAGGGTACTCGGTATACATTACACGCCAGGAGTTCCAAAGACATGTTTTTCGTCGGGAAGTGAGTTGATGTTCGGACCGGGTACCCTTACTTTAATTATTAAGGACCCCTTCGGAACTCCTGATGTGGTTAGATGTATATACTGTATATGTGCATAGGTGCGTGTATGCATATGGACATTTTGACCCCAACCCCATGATCTGCCTAGAACTGTGGAACCTACCCTATATTCGTTCCAGCGCCGCAAGTCTCAGGCGACACCCAGGGGGACTACCAGTTTGTTCGGATTGGCAATGAGTTCACCTTGCTGGTGGCGGTGGGAGACAGTCATACCTGGCAAAACCATGGTGCAAGCAACCGCGAAGCAATTCGCATGCGTCTCGTGGAGACAGCGTCACCAGCTTTACCTGCAGATGTCATACAGCTGCCAATCCTGGCTCCTGATGCTACTGCGTCTCGCTCGGACAGTCGATATATTTTCAAGCCATGTTCAAGTTTGTTTGGTTGTTGACTTGTTTTGCATAAGTTTCCCGTCAACACCTCCAATTTCATTGGTACAGAACGTTCTGGCCCCCCCTAGGAAAATCCGATCCCTTCAAGAGTTTCCACATCCGGGAACTTGACTTCCTTGTTTTTCAGGGACGTCCTTCCACTTCCGGTTTTCAAGGAGGGCATCCCACCCATCACTAGAAATATCTAGAAATCCAACATACTCCGTCAAACAATACTGTTTTAGTTGTTTGTTTTGTCTCTTATGATCAACGAAACGCCACTCAAGCTTGTATGTCGAGAGACCTTTGGTGCTTACTGGTCTTGGTTTGGCAATACCAAGGTTCTCAGGTTTTGATATGTTTTGATCCGGTCACTCACTCAGTAAGGTGCCGACTGCTCCTGGTAGCTACGTGTGCTCTTTGCACGAGCTGCCCAACGACCGGGAGACTCGGAGACGGGGGGGGAGGACACTGAGGACACTGGTGCAAGCGGAGCCTCCGGATGAAAGCATGAAATGAAAGCCCAGACCATCCATTGGACTGGAATAGTTACATACTGCACCATGTACATCCACTGTGACGATTGTGACTGGATATATATATATATATATAGGGAGTTAAAATGTGTTGTTTGTTCTATAGTGTATATGTATGTATATGTTTCATGTTTACTATTTGTCGTTGTTTGTTTTCTCTTCGGTTAGACTTGATCCTCATCATTGCATTGAGGCCCTGCGGCCCGGGGCATAGCGGTATAGCTCGAAGTTCTTGGGGATTGTTGTGCTCCAGTGTCCGGCTACGGCTAAGCCCATTCCTTCGAATGGTGACCCAGGACCAAGAATCGACCTGCAGGTGGTTCACTTCTGAGTTCACTTCAGTCCGGTGTCCATGGGGGGGGCTCTCCCAGGTCCATGTGCGATCGCCCCATGGACCGTGCGACTCGGGCTCACGCCAGCCTGCGAGGAGTACCATTTGGTTCGCTTCAAGGTGTGGAAGATCTCTTGGTCCAAAAAACGCGTTCAGTTCATTTTTGTTGCCTGTTGCCTTGAGGAGAGGAAGGACGGTTTTTGGCTTCAGCTGAACTTTTGAGGGGCAAGGCGGCAAGGATTGCCAATAGCCAGAAGAATAAAATATTGATCAAAGATTGATGACCCTTGTTTATCTTACCATGGCACCTTTTTCTCTAAAAGAAGCACGGACCCATAGAAGAGTTCGGAAGTCTTCAGCAAAGCTGTCTTGGAAGGCTTGATTTACACATTGTTAGCATTCGAGCTTCTCCAAGTACAATTATACATTGCGAATGAATCGCTGGACATCAAAGCGCTCTATACTGCATCAAGTCCCAAAGAGTTGATACCTGCCTATTTCCCAGACACCCCAGACGGGTGCCAGGGGTGTGAATTGATGCAGTCGTCCCATGGAGCGGTTGGGACTGATACGTTGCCTTAGAGTGGCACGTCGCCCCATGTCTAATTCCCCTAGGGCTCCTGGCCCACCTCCTGAGGTTCGGTGGGCCAGGGGTGGGTTTTGGGGGGTCTAACCACCGAACCTGAGGAGATGGTTGGAGCCTTAGGGTTCTACGTTTAATGACCTCTTTGGGAGGGGGGGGCTGGCAAGTGAAACGCGTCTGACTTCAGCTGGATGCCACAGGTGAAACGTGGTACAGCGGCACTGGTTTCGGACGGTGGTGGCTCAGTGCTACACCACGTGGATCCTCGCTTCAAGCCATTGGATGTTTTTTGGTTAGGAGTTCCAATTGTTGGGTGGTTGTTGGGTTGTTGGTTTTGCTGGGTGCCCAGAATATGAATACAATCACCTTAAGTTTTCAAAAAAAATCTAGGAACCAAATCATCAGTGTGAGCGCTTCAAGGAAGCTTCCCCCGCCTGTTATCCTTGAAGAAGCGCGAGCTATCCGGCATCCTGTAACATACTAGCTTCTCCTCTCCAGCTACGCCGTCCTTTGGAACCAAAGCCATTTGAACTCCTGAAGCCGGGGTTGGAACTCCCGGTCCGTCTCCTCCTGGAAGAGACGGCGGTTTGGAACACCTGGAAGACAAAGTTATAAAAGCAAAAGCTTTCGACTAAGAACATCACACTCGTCACACAGCTCACTCAGCTGTTTTTTTTGAGTTCTTTTGGCGGGTTTGGTCCAGCTCCTGCAAGGACATGTTTAGCTGCAAACATCTTCCAGGACGCAGATGCAGAACTGTCAGCCGAAATGTGTGAAATTGGCAGAGCATGGTAGAGCTCCACTGCTTAGATTCAGACATGGTGAGGGCACCAGTAGTTTATGTTTTCTTAGTAGGGATCGGTTTGGTTCTTCAGCTGGGAGAAATAATGCCGATTTGAAATGCGAACACGTGGCCGGAAATCAATCTCTGTCACCAACCCAACTTGATCAACATAAATTTAACACAAAAGAATCCATGAAGTTCCTGAAGGACAGATCCAATATTTGGTTTCCTTGCATTGCCTTTGTGATAGATCATCCTTGCATTGCCTTCTCAAGATAATGATCGCACACAATGAGTCAATGAACGTTTTTTCACCCATTCACTTCGAGATGAAAACGCGCTGCGAACGCGTGGCCAGGAGCTGTGAACGCGATCGTGGCCTGTGGCGTCGCCATGGCCGCCTGTGATGAGATGCTTTTGAGTGGTGGCTACTCAGGAGCGAACCACGTCGACACGCTCAGTTTCAGTGACAACGGACAAGGCAAACAGTCAAACAGTTCTTGAAGTTCTAGCGCGACACCCTATGAGAAGCCAGTGCCTTCTATGTGAAGCCCCAATTTCACATATATAGCCCTGTGAGAGTTACTGTGTGATGCTGGGCGAGGTTTCTGCGTCATGGATGGTATCTCTAGGACCTCTCCAGGACATCGTAGGCCTCCGGAAGCCCATCACACCCGTCGGACAAGAAGGTGATGTTGTTAAGGGCAGGAGTTGTTTAAAGTATAAACGTTTTAGATCGTTTTAGATATATTTTACACCAGGTTCCTTTTAACAAATGTCGTAGCCCTTCCTCACATGCTTGATCGTTTTGCACCGTGTTCTTGACCCGCCAGGCCATGGTGAAAACCTGCCACCAGACACGGGGCTGTCCATCGGACCATCCAACAAGTACGTCATGATCAACAGACACTTCTACAATGCCAAGGCCTCGAGTTGAAAACAAAGAGGTGGTGGACCCGGAGAAGTAGACGGAAGGCCATGAAGGCCATGAAGTAAGTAGTTGAGAACCCATCGCATCGAAGATGCTTTTGGGAAAAGGAGGTGGTTTGGGGAGATCATGAGTCTAGGGTAGCCAGGCGGACCCCGACAGGAAGCAGCTGCTTGGGCCGAAGCGATGCCTCGCACAACCCGACCAAGCCAGGAGTTTTCGAGTCGCTAGGGGCAAGCTGAAAAAGGACACATGTCATATCCCAGACCATCCATGGGACAGGCATATCTGCCTTATGCATAGGGGGTTGTTTCAGGGGTGTTTCATGCAGGCATGTATGCCGGTCATCTTTGGGTATGGCCAGTGTGTTCCTCCATGTTTGGTTGTGCCATGTGGAGCAGTTTTTCAGTTCGTGGACCCTCCAAACCACATACTCAGGAGTGGGCTCTGTGGGCGTGGGATGTTCTCCAAATTGCTTTGAGGATGTGTCCCACAAGCTGCAGGAAACCATGGGATAGTTCGCCCGTTTCATCCCACAGTTGATGGCGGGATTCCTGAGATTTGCCGTTTTTTTTCTTCAATCCTTGGCAACCACTTCGGGGAGTATAATATGACCACTCCTCCACGTTGGGCACCACTTGTTTCACCGATCCATCCTAATGCTCCATGTGTACTAGAAAAATGTTACACGAATCAAAAACCAAACGGTTGCCCAATAAGTACTACGATGCCACAAAAAGTGCTCGCTTCATAAAAAAGTAGACGACCTTGGTCCTACAGGTTGGCCTTCTTTGCCTTAAGTTGGAGGTTGCTGGGGAAAGCGAGCCTTGGTCAACCCAATCCATCCCAACCCAGCGGTCAACACAACACACAGGCCCAAGAGGTTTGAACATCTAAGAGACTATGGAATCTTGTGGAGAAATCTTTCAACCTCTTTTGGGCACACGCACACACACACACACACCAACACATCGGCAGCGACTTCTTCCTCAGCCTCGGGCACCTTCAGCAGCCGGGGCTCTCGGCTTGCTTGTGGACTTCCACATCATCGACTTAATTCCCCACGCACAAGAGATTTTATGTTTGGGACTTTCACTTGGTATTGAAGGAGCTCATAAAATTAATCAGCTCCCTTGCGCATAGGCACTGTCAAACTTTTTTGCAAACTCCCTCCGGTAGTAACCCAGGGATCTATCAATTGTCCTGGCAGCCGTCGTCCAAGGGTGACAACGTCGGCTGATCCTACAGGCACGGCCGATAAAATCTTCGTCCTGCCATGTCATAAACATGGTTGGACTCAGGATTGCAGGGGCTCCAGTTTGGATCTGGTGCTGGATGTCGAGCCTGACATCAGAACACACGAGCCTGACATCAGAACACACCCCTTCTCAAACAGATGCCATGTTAAAACAAACTGTATTGCAAACAAAGGACACAAGGTGGGTCATCATGTGCAGTTTGGGACGGATTCTGTAGCCATACAGCTTTGCCCGAGCTGCCAAGCTCGCCAGGGTGGAATAGGCATCCTTACCAGACATGCGATCGATGGATACGATGACGTTACCCTTTACTGAACTTTCTAGGACCTTTTGCTGGGAATAAAAGAGGGGTTGTGGTAGACAGATACTGGATCAAAAAATGCAAATGCTCAAAGTCCAAGGTCCGTGAAGATAAAACCTTCAGAAACCAAGCCTTCGGCTGTACCGCGTGGGATCCAAACCCCATGATTGTAAATAGTGCGCCAGAAACGGTCAATAGCCAAACACGCAATGGTTAGCACCTCCAACATGTCTTTGTACTCCTCTTCCTGAGTTTCCACCCTCGCCGCTTTAGCAACTTAAGTTACGTAAGACACCCAAAACAGAAAGCGGTTGTCATGGATGCACTTTGAAAATCTTTGAAATGCCATTGACCCAACCGAAGCTCGACCAAGGTCGGCGAAGTCCGTTGCACCTCCTCTGCGAGCCAGGCGCCAACGGCAGACGCGTCGTGCCCTTTTCCAAGCCCCCTGGGCCATCCATTCAACCTTGCTGCATCCAGCGAGCTGGGATTGCAAGAGACCCCTATAGCCGGCTAACCCCTAGAACAACACATATGTTACCTTTGTTGGAAGTTCTGGGGCTTGAAGAGCGTCCATGCAAAAGCGATACGTAAAGTTTTGAACCTAGAAGCGAACCCTTCTTGAGCTTCAAGCTTCCATGACTGAAGTCTTCAATGGTTGTGTTCTTAGAGTGGGAATTGCAGTAAGCCAAGAAGTTGGCGTAAGCATTCTGAAGGCAACGCTCAGTGGGACCGGAACCAAAGTGACCCAGTCGGACTAGCATGAGAAGACTTGAAGCAAGAAAGTCTTTGCCGATACCATCAATCGCATAAGTATGCGCGCCATCTATACGCACATACCTGCAGCAATCTCCCAGTGGCAAACTCCTGAGTGGGCTCGGAGGTCCGCCCTTGAACGCATTCGGGTTGGTGGCAGTGACTGGCATAGATTTCATCTTCTTGACATCCCACCAATCCTTAGAGGCAAAGTATGCACGTGACAAATTGATAGGCTGAGAAAAAGCTAGTCAAACACACCCAACTAGAAACCCAGTGTCAATTCTCCAAAGAGTTTCTAGCATCGTGCAGCGGTGACATTTCTGCTTACAATTGAACCCACAGTTTAGCGCATAGGCGCTGCGCAGAAATGGCCAGTCCCCCTTCACACCCAGGCATATAAAGTGAATACGGTGGGTTTGTCCGGCCCATGTCACCTTACTTGCCACGAGACTTAACCTCGCACAAGGCTCATGCGATGAAGTGAAGCAGAACATGAGCAAAAGCTATTTAAAACTTTGGTATTCAGTCTACCTAGGAACATCCACACCATCTTTCCACATCTTGTTCAGATCTTCCGCCAGCACTGACAGAAGCGTGTGAAAACTCTTGTGTGAATATGGTGCAGGGAGGCACGTGTAGAGAAGGCGGGTGCACAAACTTGACCTCAGCACGGAGACGAGCAGTTGACCCATGCGCCCTTGGAAGAATACAAGAGACCTCCCTGTCCTTCTCAAATAAAATATTGCTGTTCTATATGCGAGGTACCCTTGCATGTTTGTCTTTTTGCCCACAAGCGGCAGCAAGGTTTGAAGGGCCACCACCATAACCGGGTTATGAAGACGACCCCTACCCTCGTCCCCATGTATGGCCACCGGTATGCAAGACCCCAACTTCCTTTCTGGCATGTCTTTGTAGAGGGGGAAGTCACTGTCGATCTTCTTGTAGGCCGACCAAAAATGAAGCAGCTCGTTTTGAACTTGTGGCCACATGTCCATAGACCGGCCGCCCAAAAAGAAGTGCCCGCCATTTTTGAAGATTGTCTCCACCCAGTCTGGCATACGTAAGACAGGGTAGTGCACGAAAGCTGGCGCCAAGCGTTTCCGGGAGTATCGGACCCACAAAGGAACACGGCTAATTTTTACATCTAGTTTTCTTTTTTCCTTGGCAATCACCCGGTGCAACTTCTCGCAGGCATGGCCCGTGTAAGTAGCATTCTTGGCTGCGCTGCCACAGCTCGCCAGTCTCTGCAAAGATCGATCCACAACTCCTAGGAACCCCAAACAAAAGACAAGTTCAATCCCGCCGCACATACACAAACCGTTCACAGACCATGCATGCGCACCATATACTGTATATATATTCATGCAAGACGCCGTGCTTTTGTAGCTTCTGATGAGCAACTGCAGCCAAACGAGCCACACGCTCAGCGCTTTGAGCCTGGCAACAGCAGTACTGATGGGGGCCCAATTTGATGCTATTTGATGTTTCTGGATTTCTGAGCTCGAATGGGCGATCTTGTCATGCATTCGACTAAATGCTGGCAAGCAACCCCCATCTCAAACCCGCTGAGAAGCTCATCGGCCAGGTCGGACTCCAGGTCGGACTCGTCTGATGGCAAAAGAGGCTGTGGGAGTGAGCGGGGCAGGGGTTTGGGTCTCAGGCTGTCACAAGCAGAACTCCTCACAAAATCCCTGCCTTCAAACTTGCGTTTAGATTCATTGCGGCTCTCGAAGCACCCATCCCTGGATATACCTGCGGGTGAGGGTGAAAGCAATGAGATTTCCAATGCAGGGTGAGAGGACGTAAAAGGGATCGCACCAAAAGCAGCTGGTGTGATCCCTTTTGCGTCCATTCAACCTGTCTTGGTTGTGAACAAACCTCGAGGTTTGCCGCACAGATCCCATCACTTACCTGATCGTGTTTTTCAGATCTCTGGCAGGTCCACCCCGTACCCCATATTCAACTCCGCTGGCCCACGCAGAGTTGCCAAAGGAAACAAACATCAACTTCGGTGTAGCTAGCCATCGAAAAAATATTTTTGATTCTGAGCTGTGCAGCTGCAGGCAACTCTGACTATGGTTGGGTGCGCGTAGCGATACCCCACATCTCTAATTGCAGCGTGGGAATTGGTTGCCCACACCAGCAAACTGGAAACAATTGGCAAACCTAGTCTTTCTTGACTGGTTTCCTTCCACCCTTCTTCGGGCGTGCTTTTGCACCGGACTTTGCCGCAGGCTTACTGGATGGCTTCATCGTCCTGGAGCCAAGGGTTGGGGAGTGGGTTGAGGTTAAAATACGAATTAGGAGGATTGAGTTGATTGAGATAGCTATAGAACCTACTTATCATCACTATATATATAGGTGTGGAAACCTGGCCTATCCCAACCCCGCAGACACTGGTCCTGGCACGAAGAACCAAATTATTGAGGGCAACATCGGTTTTGGTGCACTCTGCACATAGGCTCAAGATCTGCTTTTGTGTCTCAGGCCTCAAAGCCCATACGCAAACAGGTGTGATATTGGTGCCCCGGAAGGTGAACATATATGATCTAGAGCATGCTGGGGCGCTTCGCACTTCGAGTCACAGCGCATTCCCCCTGCAGATTCTCCAGCTTCTCGTAGATGGACTGCATATGGTTCACCTGGATCTGAATCTGCTTCGAATGCCTGGGCTCGAG